ACACGATGTTCTGAGGAAACAGTTCCAGTAGGGGGTGTTCGACACATACAAGCAAGGAGTTTCTTCTCCTTGAACTCTAAGTGGCACTAAGGGAACTGGCAGAGGTGTGTAAGGGGTTATGCCACTCAGTGAAGAGTTTTGTTCAGATGAAAACACAGGGAACTTATACAGATTACACAAAATGGGAAGAGAAAGAGCTCACTCTTAGGAGTAGATTTTGTGGAAACCCAAATAAATTTGGGGTAGAGTGAAAACACTGCTTCATTAAGAAAGAAGGAGAAGGTTAAATGGGAAGCTAGTATTTCGGTAGTTTGGAGCAAGAATAGTAAAAAATGACTCTAGAAAATGAAATAGGGAGAGAGAAACTGTTATGGAGGCTGTAAAGAGAGAGAAACACAAGAGGGGCTGGGGAGAAAGTGCAGGCCCAACTGACAGAGCGTGAGATGGAGTCTGGACGGATGTGTACAAGTATGGCAACGGGCCACGGCGGAAAAGCCTTCCAAGAGCTACGTATGAATTAAAACGAGACAGAAGGGATGTAGGAATGCAGGCGAAAGATGCCACCAGATTTTCACGGTGGCATCCAAGCCCTGCCAGCTGTCTTCGCTGCGGTGTCTGTGAACTCCAACTGCCAATCACCAGAGATGACAATCCACACACATTCAGCTCCAGTCACACAGGAAGGGGGGTGGGCAGGAAGGAGACACATTTCAAAACGAGAAGGTCCACAGTACCTGGCGATGTATCTCTTTCCCATGTACTGGAACTGATGCAAGCAGACTCTGCGGACGAGATGAAGCATCGTTAGGGGAAACGTGAAGACAAAATGACATGCAACACACGGTCTTATTTAAACTATATCAACAGTAACACTCAGTTAAAAAACCAACAAACCAACCAACCAACCAACCAACCAAACACACACACAAACCAAAAAACCCCCTAAAAAAGCCTTACTGCTACAAGGAACCTCTTCGCTATACCCTGTGGAAAGTATTAGCCCAAAGAGTTAGGACTTAAAGCAAAGCTCATGACCAGGAGGCTCTTCCACTGGCTTGAAATTTGGATGTTTACTCCATGGTGGTTCACTTGAGGAATCATTCTGGAAATCACATACACTTATTCTTTACTCAGGAGAACATGCTACACTGCTAACCCAAAGGTACTTGGTTCAAATCTACCAGCTGGTCTGTGGGAGAACGATGGGCAATCTCCTCCCATGTGATTTACTGCCTCTGAAAACCTGCTGGAGTTCAGCTATGAGCTGGTTCTAATTCAATATAACAACAAAAATGTAGGCTGGGCCTATACAGATGTCAAAGAAATAGATTTAGTTTTGTTTTAATATAGCTGTAAACATCAAGAATTTAAATCTTTTGAAAGCTAAAACAAACAGATTTATCCTGGAGAGGGTTAAAGCGGGCTGCTCCTTGGAGGCAAGGATTCTGGGGCTTTGTCTGACATTCTCTGGACATGTTGTAAGGCGAGACCGGTCCTTAGAGAAGGACATCATGCTTGGGAGGGTGGAGGGACAGTGCAGGAGGGGAAGGCCCTCTATGAGGTGGATTGATTCAGTGACTGGGGTAATCGGGATGGGTG